TTGTACCTAATTTATTGTAATTTGACAAAATTTTGAATAATGTGTAATAGCTAAAACAAAATTTTTAAACCCGCCAGTCTATAACATCAGAATATGATGAGACAGAAAGTCCTAAGCCTTTTAAAGGGTGAAGGAAAATGTTGTTTGAGTATAATAATTGTCCACTATCAGTATTGACCAAATCGAAAATATGGTGGTACGGAGATTATGTACCCCCAATACGTGGATAAAATTCTTGGAAAAAAGGTTTCTATTGTTCGTAAATTGTGCGCAAATGAGTTATGTTTTTGTGCGCAAATGAGTTGTAAAAAAGGTAAATGTGCGCAAATGAGTTGTAGCGATTTTTACTGGCCAATTAATTTACATTAGTCATTAAAACGTAATATTATGTGCGCTAAGAAAAATAAGTAATACTAACTACAGACATATAATGAAACTGAATGGTACCTAGACAAATTAACAATAGTAAGTAGTAACTAAATTATATTTTTTATAATTATATGTATAAAATATTTTTAAACCCACTTTTTTCTATAAATAATTGATTCACATTATTTTTATTTAAGTTCATACCTAAATGATTTATACAGTTTTTTAATATACAACTGGATGTATTATGTTTTAATGGTGTCAAATGATGTTTTTTCACTATCACAGTACTTAATGACCTTCCTAAAAAATAAAGTATCTACTGAGTACTGACTGAGTATTTTGGGTGACCATCTGATCGAGACATTAATTTTTTGTATTTAATGGTGATACTTTTTCATTCTTCAAATATTACGCCATTCGGCTATTAATAATTTAGACTTTTGAAAACGCTGATGGTACTGTAAAATCAGACGATGAAAAGAATAATAATAATACATTTACACAAAATGTTGTTTCAGTGAATTTCACAACTTTATTCAGCCAGTCAGATTTCACGAATTTCTTGTAAGATATCTGAGGGTCATGAGCCTGTATTGAATAACCAGCCAGATTGTAAAACGATTGTAACACATTTTTCTTACAATTTTCTTATAATACTTCAAGCTAGAGCATCAAAAATATAGTAGTTGTTAATCTAAAAAGCGCATTATCTATAGTAGTAATAATAGTAATAATAATATTACATTTATAATAATAAATACAATTCAAGTGTATAGCCCGGATGTTAGCCCTGTTTGTTAGCTCGATACCCCCGGACTAATATTTGTCTGCATAATACAGTCTACTGAAATATTTATCGGCTGAAATACAATATAGTCTAAAATAAAATAAAATGTGGATAACACAATATTATTGGAATTTTTATGCATTTCCCGTCCGTATTAATCTTTGAACCGGCTGAACCGATCCTGACGGGATTTTTACAGACAGACGATTTTTCATGGAGTGAATAGTAAATAGTAATCTACAGGCTAATTTTTATACTCACACATGGATTTTGAACTTAAAATATAAAAATGTAATTTTTTGATTATTTCTGATTGCGATTGGTTACACAGAGAAAAAATCAATAAGTTAATATTAATATTTAAATTGATTTTTAAGGACAAGAAAATCTCTTATCATAAATCTCATTATGTTGAAATGCACAAATCACAGGAGGATTTCCTGCCTCGGTTGGGTATATCCACAAACTGAGGTTCACCGATACGACTTGCCTGTGAACTAAATAAAGTGTGTATTAGGAACAGAAACTGAACCTAATAGAACTGGTTCTGGATCCAGAACCTAAAAAATAGGATCAGAAACCAGAATCAAAAAGTTTATTTAAAAAAAAAAATAAGAATCAGCTAGTGTACCAGGTTCCGGTCACGAAATAAAAATATTTAATATAATGTATAGAGTCTTATGTCCGTATGCATAGTCAATTTGTGTATCACAAAGGACATAGTTTAACATGTCTTATGTGACACATAAATTGACTAAACATATGGACACTTAATTCGTCTAACAATTCAATAATTTATAATTAAAATGTACACTGTAGTATGTATTCATGACCTACCTATTCATAATTTGTATTATGTTCGCACATAATATAGGATATATTATTATGTAGTTTAACATTTTTAACCAACATCTATGATTGGATTTCAGAACTAAAACAGGTATTATTATTATTAAATTAAATTTTGAAATAATAATATCATTAGGTATCTAAAATCAATAAATTTCACTTTATTAAAATGGTTGACGCTTATAAGAAAAAATTGCAAAGGCATTTTTCTGTTTAACATCTAAGACTGTTTTTTCAGACACGTTGGACCTTATCCCAGTCGATGCTTAAAATGTAAAAGCAATAACGACCCCTCAGCGTAATTGAATATTTTCTATTATGTAACCAACACACGTTTTATCTTTGGGTAGGTACTTTATGAGGTACTGATACCGAAATCCTAATCGACGTTCTGAATTGTAATGACGTTTTGAGGGTTATTTAAATGAATTGATTTTTGAAACCTATATTATACGAATTGTTATTTTAATTGCATAACTATGAATTAGTTTTCCGGAATTAGATATATTCGAAGACCGAAGTTATAACGATTAAGGAAAAAGAACATTTGAAATTAAATTTTACCAATAACTCAGCTTGGTCTGATTCTTGTGTACAAAAAATAATTTTAGTATAATAGGTATTATATCAGTGAAATAGGTGTGTATTATACGCATAGTTAATATCCTCGTTAGAGATCTTTAATATTATAACAGCGTTCAAAAGTTTCTTTCTCGTATATGCTCAACTGCTCATGCAAATTATTTAAGGTGTATGATATAATAAATAAATTATATTATTTAATATTTATTCATTAATACTCATTCACAGAGTCAGTTTACAACTACTTACAAATATTTAAATTGGAAAATATTGAATTTGATATATTGTGATGATTTAAAGATATTTTTAAAAATAATTTTAATAATTATTATTATATTTTGTTTAAACTATTAAAATATTGAAATTTAAGTTGTACATTTTATAGCTGAGAGATATAATATCTTGAAAATTAAGTTAATTTGGTCCAGTACAATAATCGATAAAAGTACTTAACTATAATAATATACCTAATATTACGTACCTACATACTTTGAATAAATATCCAGTCACAAAGTCACTTTTGATAATACGTGAATATTTTGGCCTTATAATTTGTATTGTTTAAAACCGTTGTAGTTTGAATGCTTAAATATACACGACAGTTAGTAATACAACGATGTTTAAGTGGATATGTGTAGATGTTTTAGTTGCTCAGAAAAGGAAGAGTCATAGAAAACCAATATAGACGTTGGACGTTGACAAATATGAAATAGCTAGTAGACCTATCGTGGATTCTCTGTTGTAAGCTTACAATTTTCACGAGAAATTGTGACTTTTCCGGTTAAAAAGCTTTTACCGGCTGACAGGTCATTAACAAACGGCTATTCTCCGATAAAAACATTTTCCGGAGATATTTCTTCCTCATTTTTTTCTTTAAAAAAAATGGGATTTTTATTTTTGTTAAATTTAATACCAAAATTTAAATTGTCATCTCTAACACTTATTTAGGGGTTCAAACATTTTGCACAATATTTTGTTTAGTTTTGAATCGGAGTATACCAACGTGAAAATGTATGATATTATATTATAAATGGGCTATGTGAATTGTGTAACGATGTGTAGTTAAAATAAGAATTCTGCCTATTTATTTCATTAAATAACATTTGTTAGTTATATTGATCTAAATTTTTTTTAAAAATTTTTTTTTTTATTGTATAATCATTTAATTTCATTAGAAATTAAGATTGTGTTTAAATTAAATCATATTAGTGTATTTCCTATATATATATTAGTTGAATGGAGCGGTTCTTATTATTTTTATCCAAATGTGAATCGTTGGTGACACACTGACACTAAAATGGGCTCCTACATTTAGATTGGTTAACTTTTTTCACTCCAAAAACACACGGAGGCAATTCGAGTATACTTACCCAAACGGTTTAGTTGAATCACCCCCCCCCCCCCCCCATAGTATACCTAGATTATTACATAGATTTCCGTAATGTTCAAAAATATAATTTTTTTAAGGCATACTGTATTTCCTGGACATATACATTTTTCAGATAATCTTGTCAATTACTGATCAGTTAAAGATTATTTGCTGGCTAGTCCATCATCACCAGTTCAACATTTTCAGTATCGTTTGCACAACCGTCACGATAAATAACACGCTTATACTTACATTATTTTATAAAAGTTAACATAATTAGTGAAAAAGGCAAAAAAATTTTAATTTGAGATGGATTTAAGTTTAGATTTGATAAGGTCGAAATTTAATCAACTCACCCTTATGTTTAAAAATGTTTGGATGTATTAAAATCAATTCAGTTAGATACGGTAGTATTAATTAGATCTTCTAAGATTAAAACCAAAATAATTTGGACAATCACAAAAAAATAAAGTTATTGCAAAAGTATTGGCAAATAAATTTAAACCTCGGAAACTAACCTAAGGTAGAACATAACAAACTTAAATTTTTATTTTTATTATAATTTATTTTTTAAATATTAGCTGGTAGGTATGTATTGATTATTGATTATTTTTAATTATTATTAATTATTACTGCTGTTTTTATGGTTTTTTTGTTATTTTTGTTCTGGCATTTTTGAAATATTCTATTTAAGTACCTATTTAAATATTTATTAACCTTAATTTAAATTAAATCAATCGACATTGACTCAATTGGCTCATTTATTCAATTTATTAATAATTTCCCATAATGTAAGGTTAGAAATCGATAATTTATAGCTATCGAAGGTGATTCCAGTACAAGAAGGTCACTACCTAAATAGGAGGTAATTCAAGTGAATGATATTTTTGAAATCAGGAGGCAGTTTGAGAAACATTTTTAAAAAAAAATCCACAAGAGGCAATTCGTGAGCACCCGAATCGATACTTATATGATCCAATGTTTTCTAAATTTTATTTTGGTAGTTAATTGTAGGCACTAGTTTAAAAATTCACTATTGTAATGTATATCTCATTATATTTTAGTCATTGCGGAGCACATTACATAAGTGTTTACCAAGGACCGACATCCAACAGTCCTTTGCTAACTACAATTTGTGACAAGAGCACAAAAGACCACACTTTTCCCGGGCCAAACGTGCTGCTTGAGTTCAGGTAAAACTTTATCAAAATTATATATTAATTGGAATTTTGAATACCTATCTTAAAAGAGCTAAAACCATTAATTTGCTGTTTTTAGGGCTGGGGCATCGATTCCACCCTACGACTACACGGGCTTTGTGGCTACTATCGAGTTCATCGATGACGCGAGCACTCAACCAGCCAGTACTCCGGCCACGTTGGAAGTATCACCGTATCCAGCGGTTTCAGTTCAAAGTAAACACGAAAAACAATTTCCAATCAGTAAAATTAAAATTAACGAATGCTGTGTTATTCCGACCTTGTGTTTTTGACCGTAGGAAACTTGAGAAACGACCAATCTTGTGAGTTGACAATCAAATCGGCCGACATCAAGTCTGGACATTTCGATTTACGTGGTATGCAAAATTGGAAAACAAATTGCACTATTCGTTTCGAAGGGAGGGAACCGGAGATCGTGCACATATCATTGTTTAACTACGTGCTCAAGTGAGTGTGATAGTTACATCATACCAAAATAAACATGAGCATCAGACATAATTTACTCAAAATTATTATGCATACATCTAATAATTATAATATTATAATATAATCATTATTATATCACTGTGAAAGTGAAAAATATATAAACGGAGTATTGAATTTTTATTTATTTGATTATTATTTATTACATGTTGGGTTTATGTATTGGCACGTAAAATATGTTTAATTTATTCATAAACCAATAAATTTAACCCAAACGTAATAAAAAATAATTCAATTGCAAATCCTGTATAGAATACACAATATTTTATTGATTTTTAATTTATTATATAATAATTATTATACAAGTGAACTAGCTAGTTTAAATAGTTTGTCCATAAAATAAATTCAAACATTATAGTAGAAACATTTAAAAGATAATATATATCATATTATGAAAATGAATTAACAAAATATTGTGATTAGAAATTAGTAGGTATGATATTTTAAATTATTTTAGAGCCAGTTCTTGTCAATCATTCATTGAAATTTACGATGGACCAGATATAAGGTCGAAAGATAAAACTAAACGATTGTGCAGTCCCGTAGAAAATCATGCTAGGGATACAAATGGCATGTAAGTCTGACTACGATGGAAAGTTGATTAAAGAATTAGATGAAAAATTGTTGCCTTTTTTACTTCAATCAATTTTATCGTTTTGTTTCACTTACAGGTTCCGTGAAAGACAAATGTTTGTTTCGTCAGGGAATCATATGACGCTCCTCGTCCGCAGATTAATGGCAAACAATCAAGATGAAGAGACCGAATATTTGGATGGTGCCTACAGTTTCTTTAATGGTTAGTTCTTGTATATTTATTTGTTTATACGTCACAATAATACGTACATTTATTTCCATTTTGGTATTGATTTTGATATTCAATTACGTATATTATAGTATTAGAAAGAGGGACATTGCAACCGGACACTTTGTGTGATGTTAACTACAATGGCCGAAGCAGTTCCTCTAGAGGGAAATTGAAACATCCAGGAACCGAACAAATATTTTGGAATGTCGAAGGACAATTGAGGTGTTCCCAAAATCTCATTCCAGCTACCAATCAAAGCATAAGTATCAAAGTAATAGTTATTTTATATTATATATGTAATAAGAAATATTATTCGCAATTAGTGAAAAAACGTTAATTAATTTATGCTAACAATCATAAGAAATAAATAATAATAATAATTTAATTTAAAATTTATATTTACAATAATTTACTTGTAATACATATTATATATTAAGTACCTACTTATTATGAACTAAGAAAATTTATTATTACTAAATGTATAATTTGATAAATACGTAGCTACTAGCTACTAAATCTGTGTTAAGCTATGTGTTAGCTCTCATTGAATATGACCGTGGTTCGACTAAGTGGCCAGTTTGTTTAGAATGTTCCAAAATGCCAATTATAAATCAAAGTATCTACTGAGACCACACATGAATTATATAAGTTGTATAAAAGTCTTAAAAGTTAATAAATATACTCACTAGCAGGACCAAATGCATTTCATTTTATACTGAAATGTTAGTTTATGTTTGTATTTAAACACAAGTATAAACAAGGAAATCCTAACAAAATACTAAAACCGTATATTATATGTTCATATCACTTTGCTTGCCTCATAATTCTTACTTCACGTGAAAAAGTACTATTGCAAATCTTAAAATATTGTTAAGATGAAGTTATAACAATGTAGTATGCCTTGTAGCCTAGATATAAGTAATTTAAGATTCATATATTTCAAAAGAAGTTACTTTAAACAATTTACAAAGCTAATATTTAATATTCAAAGCTGAATTATATGTTTTTTAATCTTAACATAAAAATAAAACACTTACATTTTAAGCACCTATTACATCCTTAGAATATTTTAAGTTTCACCCAATATTTATGCCTATTTAAAAATCTGTAACATACAGCTCGCTCCCAAATTTACACAATAGCTACGTATACGAATGCACAAGTATGGATTAGGAAAACATAATGCCCATAATGGTATTAAATCTGTTTGATCAATATAAGTAATTAACGTGCACGTTTAATTTGAAGCCTTTTTAATACAATATAAACGCATTAAGTCGGTACTATTAAAATCAAAAACTATTATTTTAGAAGTTATAATATATACCTACTATTTAGTATAAAACGTAATTACTGTTTTCGATGAAGTTTCATTATTACGTATTAACTCATCTATTAAATACTATCGAAAACAACTTTTTATAAAACTTACTTCGTAGTAAATTATAATAATAATAATATGTTATCATTTTGGAAATTAATAATTATTAATCAATGTTTGTACAATATGTTTACACAAATGTATTCAATACATCTTAAATTTGACTACCTAATATCATTATAATCGTTTTTGAAATATATTTTCCATGATATTGATTATATAATATGATGCAATATAGATACTATATAGAATAAATGTAAATGTATTCTTCTTTCTGTATTTCTGTTTCATTATTGTATATTTTACAATGTATTATGTGTGAATTACCTAATAAAAACTACAATAAATTATTTGGAGTAGGTACAAAATATTATTATTGCTTTAAAAAACAAATTAATTATGAGATTCCATTAACGTAGATTATAACGCGTATTTCAGCTAGGTATTAATCAAATAATCGTTCGATAAGAGGACTAATATATTATATATTAATACTTATGCACTAGCTAATATTTTTTTCTTTCAAATTCAAATACTTTAACATTGCTTATCTTAAATATCATTTGCAGGTTATATCGTTAAATAAAATGTCTTCGAATCTATGCTACACTGAATGCGGGGATGGAGGGTGTCGTTGTGTCAAAAATGCTTCATCGGTCGTCGATCAGCTGTACGTCATCTCGACAAACGATGATATATTGTCCTGCATTTGTGGAGATTTTCAGGTGAGGTTCTTGACGGATGAAACATATTACCTATGTACATATCTATCATTTTTATTTTCTCTCCTGGCTATGTTATGAATATAACGTATTATAAGTATCGTAATGTGTATGTGTGCGTTAGGCCGAATGGTTACCAGTCACCGTCAAATCGTGGTCACCCATCAAGTTGGTATACTCGGTATCAAAGTACAGCTGGGCCAACAAGGGATTTGAATACTCGGCCGAGTATTCGTTCAAAGACGATATGGTCTGCGGTTATCGGGTCATCAACCAACATACCGGCATACTCGAATCGCCGATAATGATCAGGGAGAGTCCACTCAATTTCTATTACCATCAGGATTGTACGTGGTTACTAGATTCAAATGTCGAACGTCACTTGACCATAGAAATAGGAAGTTCACAAAGTCGTGAGTAAAAATATGACGTAACAAACCCACAAAATATTTAATCGTGGTTTTCTTAAAGCGACAGAATAAAACCAATTAACATTAAATATAATATAATATGCGACTTTACCGACATTTGTTATCAAATTATAGTCCAAAAATGTTATATTTTACAGCTTTGCGAATTTTCAATTAGAATTTTCAGGTATTATGTATATTGTATATTATGTTAATCGGTAATTTGAAAAGAACGTCAATGACTATTAAATATCGTCAATGCCCAAAATTAACTTAATATTATATGAAGGGAAATGTTATTAAAAAAATTAATTTTGTACTATAATTTTCGTCTTTCACCTGTCAATAAATAATGATAGTAATTACTAATTATATATTATATATAGATTACAAAAACATTGTTAACTCAAGCAAATTAATGGTGCAAAACCCTTCTATTTTTTCACTTAGTATAATGATGATGAGTTACACAATAATCAACAATATAACCAATAATGATATACAGAATAAGTATTCAATATATTGTATGGACCATAGAATTTTTTGGCTGCAATAGAAATTTTGAATTTTGATAAGAACATAATACGCATATTTCAGAGTACATTTCATAATTCCTCCCTCTCCCCTATTTTACACTTCAGAAGTATCAACTTTTGATTTTTAAATGGCTTAACGGATTTTGTACATCCATTTAACGTCAATGGTCAACTCAGCTGACTATTGACAATAATGACCAAACTTCCAAACAACATATTGTACATTGTACCTATACGATCAGAACATAACCAAATTTACAAGTAAATAAATACATAACCCGACCAATATCATCATTCACCACTCTATTGTCTTTGACCGTAACAATATATTATACAATTATAAATATTATAACTATTAAGAAATATTTTTCATAGCATAAACCGTTGCATTTAAGTATTAAAATATACTTTATTTTTTATTAACCAGTAATTAAAAAAGTGTTTAAACTTAATGTTAAAAATAATCATGAACTTTTTAAGATAAAAATAGGGTTAATGATGGTTAAAAAAACATAATTCTTCAAAGTTCTAGGAAAAGGATAATAGAGTCATTGTTCTCTAATAAAACAAACACTAATTCTGGTAATATCCTTTGTTTTAAGACTTAAAGTTTATGAAGTAGAATTTAAACTTAACTGGAAAAACAATGGGTGAAGACGAGTATTAGATCGGTAAAAATCTTTTTGAACAATTTAGTTTTCTAAGAGTTTTCAATACACCTTTCTTCTGAAATAATTAAATAAGAATCTCCTGTATTACAAGTTGGTCAGACACTATAAAACAAAAGTTCTCACGCCGACACGCCGTTATTATTTTTAAAAATTAAATACTTTAAAAAAATAAACAAATTTTATTAGCTTGACTTATTTAGTTCAGTAAAATATTTTAACTCCAAGAAATTATAACAATACAATTTTTAAATATTACCAAAATTATATATAATATCAGTGCCGTATCCAGAATTTTTTTTTTTGGGGGGCACTTAATTTTATTCTCAAGCCTTTGAAATGCTAGAATTTATAATTTGACCCCTTTGTCATAAAGTATATATCTACTCTTTTTATGAGTATATATTTATGTTAACAACTATGGTACCTACATTTAATATAACAATGTATCAATATTATTGTAAACCATAGGTTAATGTATTCATTAATATAAGCATATTATACATATAATAATATTATAATAATATAATCATTAGGTATATAAAAATGTGTTATAAACAAAACTTTCCTCTTTTTGTTCGAATATTATTAAAATTTACTAACAAAAATACAAGACTATATTAGGGCTGTTGTAAGCTGGTCGTTTTTTGTGCATTTAGACCAATAAGCGGAAAAAAACATACTTTCAGAAGTCCAATTTTAATTTCGAAAAAATATTAAAATTTCTCCGCTTGTTGTCTGTGTTTTAAGAAGCGAATTTTTAAAAATTACGATACAGTCACACAGCACTAATGATGGATGTACAATATTTCCTAAATCTGACCCCTTCAAAATGGTTCGCTTTCGACAGCCTTAACTTGTAATTTTTATCAAACATATAATATAATTTAAAACGAGCCAAACAAAAATTTCGGGGGGGGGGGGGGGCACGCGTCCCCAGTACCCACCCCCTGACTAAGATACTGTTTAATATCGTCCCAGCCTACTCAACAAGAAATCACTCACGTTTTTACATTCCATCACACTCTACCTCATATGGTAACAATCATCCTATTCACAGAATTCTTCACCAATTAAACAAATTCGCTTAGTTTATTGGTCACTATATTAACCTTTTATTTTGATATTACATTTTATGATTGTTAATCATAATATAACCTGTAGTTATATTGGTCAAATGCTTTATAGCGTAAAAATAATAAAATACAAATAAAAATAAAATAATATACCTAAATCCCTGCATGATTTTTTGTATTTGAAAAGAAACATATTTCTTTATGAGAATTTGAGACTTTGGGAAAAATGACTAAAAAAATCTATTTTAATTGTATTATAACTTTTACCCATATTTAAGGGTTTGTAGCCAATTGGCAACGGTGTACATTAGTGACATTATTTTATTTAAAAAAATGATTTCTGATATGAAATTATTTAGATATAACATGATATACTTTATATACAATTAAAAATAATAAATTATAAATTTATTAAATACTATATATACCAAGTGATATCCAAGAACTGCTAAAGTGCATCATTATTCATATTTTTTCCTTAGACGCACATTGTACTAAAAAGCTACAAACCGAAAAGTGTTAATTACAAAAAAGTAATTATATATATTGGAAAAATTATGGTTTTAATAATAATTATTAATTCTCACAATAGTAGTGATTTAAAAAATATTTTTTTTGAATCCAAATTCGTTTTGTATAGTTTTTATACAATATGAGTAACATGGCTAGACAATTGATAAGATATTGGATAGTCGGTAGCATAGACCTATTAAGAGGTTAGGTTTCTTAATAGGTCTATGGTCGGTAGTGCCAATAAAACACGTGATAACTATGATTGTTACCGTGGTTATTGTGATAATATTGATATCAGTATACCATAGATTAAACATACATAGATAGCCAACGGCTATGTAGAATTTGGAAACAAAAATTTATTGACAATAGATGGCGCTATTAAACGTTTTCTACATAATATCTTAGCATTGTACCCGAGAATCTGTACCCGACTCAACCCGAGCCATGTATTGTCCCCAAGATTTTATTTCCAAATTCCAAGCAGCCGTTGGCTATCTATGTATGTTTAATCTATGAGTATACTACTTGTTATGTTGACAAATGTCTACAATGCGTGTTAATGAAAAAATATGAAAAAATATGTGTTTGAACCGGGAACGGAACAATAATAGGCCGTGTTCCCCGGTCACTGATTTGCTTCGTCAATGACAGTCACACACATTACGACCTGTAGATTAGTGTGTATATTTGTATAGCAAACTCTAAAGAGGTGGCCGTGTTAACAGAGCATGACTGAAGAGTGTTGGTGTGTGGTGTGTGTGTTAGTTTGTATATGTGTGGGTATGTATAATTCAAAAAAATGGTAACACGTTTTAGGTAAAAATGAGTTGCTGTATAATACCCAAATAAAATAATGATTACGGATACAAAGACTTTATAAAAAAGCACAGCAACATCAAAGTATTTAAATTAAAATAATAAAAAACTCACAGTTTTGCGGAGATCAGTCTGGCCAGCTGCTCCTATAATAGCTATAATAGTGGAACAACAGGCAAAAGAATAACATCAATTTGAATAATATATATAGGTTGTCCTTTATGGCTCACAATAATAATAATATACTCGGTAATTAGCACCGACCAAAAACAATATTTATAATATACTGGCGATTGGCGCCTTACGAATTAATAATAATGTAAAACAAGCAATTCACGCCTAGTAATGATACGATATGCAGCGATTCGCGCCCACGGTATAATAAAGAACTTATTTCGGCGATTCTCGATCGTAAAATAATATAATATTTGCAATAGCCTAACACTGGCGATTCGCGACTCACAGTATAATTTATAACTTGCGGCTATTCGCGCACGTAGAATATGGTTTTTAGCAACGAGTCGCGTTAACGGGTTTTTGTGAACTAACCAATAGAGCTTTATGACAGGCCTCAGCTTGTTGGCCGTGCGTACGGTTACCACTCTTATTCTTCCGTCATTCCCTGGATGGATCGAGATTATGCGGGCTAGTTTCCACCTAGCTGGTGGCATATTTTCATCCTTTACGATGACTACATCGTCCACTGCAAGGGCTTTGCTATTGGTTGTCCACTTTCCTGGAATTTGCAGCTGTGAAAGATATTCAGTCCGCCATCTTTTCCAAAACGACTGCGGAAGGCATTGGACATAACGCCATCGACGAAAATAATTTGGCTCTTCATAAGCTAAGTCTGGATCTGGATGCATAACCATAGGTCCTCCGATCAAAAAATGGGTAGGGGTAAGAGCTTGTAAATCACTCGGATCGCTGCTCATTGGCGTTAGGGGGTGGGAATTAAGGCATGCTTAGATTTGGCACAATAGTGTGTGAAGCTCGCTGCTTGTCAGTAGTGCGTCCTTTAATACTCGTGTCAGGTGATGTTTGGTACTCTTGACTGCGCTTTCCCAGAGGCCTCCGAAATGTGGCGCTGATGAGGGGTTGAAATTCCAAGAGATACAATCTTTCACAGAGTCGGTTGCTATGTTTTTTAGTTAAGTGGCTAATTCCTTGTGAGCGCCAACGAAATTTGTACCGTTATCACTCCATAACTCATTTGGCTTGCCTCTTAGTGCAATGAACCTTCTTAAAGAAGCTATGAATGATTGACTGGTTAAGACCTCTACTACTTCTAAATGCAAGGCATTTGTTGAGAAATAAATAAACAAGGATATCCAAGTCTTTTTGTTTGTTCGTCCACTTCGTACCGTGATGGGACCCGCGAAATCCACTCCTGTAACAT